GAATTAGTAGTGGATTTAGCAAGGATAGAGTCTTTAATTTTTGTAGAATTAGTAATGAAAGAGCCATTGTTATTAATAGAATTAGTATTAGTGCCTACGACGGCAGGATTACGCCGGCACTGGTTCGTAACCTGACCATTTAGTTTAAATCGTAATCATTATTTTCATCGGTCTCCGTTGAAACTTGAGCGCATTCTACATACTTTTGTTCGAGCGTCGTATTCTGGAAATTTCCGCGATCAAACGTGAATTATTATATTGTCTTTTACGACATTGTGAAATATCGTGTCCAATATTTTTGCAGTAACGGCATATAATTGATTGGGAAGTTGAATGTTGGTTATTATTATTAGCACGGGGTTTTTCGTGTGATAAAATTGTTGTAATTTGGGAGGAAACGGAGACTTATTTTGCTTATTTTTAAAACGACATTCAGACTCGGAATGACCCACTTTATTGCAAACTTTACAGAAAGATTTGACTGAATAGTTATAAATTTTCTCCTCTTCAGTAGCAATACTAATAGCTGCGTTTAGATTTCGAGGGTCACGGCATCGGACAATATTATTTAGTTTTGGATGAAGTCCGAGACAAAATGTGTACAATGCCAGATCTTCTGTCATTGCAATACGGCCTGGGAGTTCCTTTTTCAACGAATCTGAGTTATGAATTTCGGACTGCAGATCCGTCAAGCAGGTCTCAATCCTTAGGGCATATTGTGCTACGGTTTCATTAGGCAATTGCTTACAGGACTGTAGTTCTAAGAGTAGATGATTATAATGCTTTCGTTCGCCGAAATTCTGTCTTAAAAATGATCGCAGGTCCTCGAAACTTTCGAATATTTTATTGGAACAAGCTACCTGTGCTTTTCCCTGTAGTTTTGAAATCATAAACTTTAAGAGAAGGGACTTTTGACTCTCGGATGCTAAATCAAGAGCATTTTGGCAATTAGTTAGAAATGCTGACAAGGTTTCTCGTTCTCCTTGGTATGGGTTTATAAATTACATAGTACCTGAATTGGGAAAGGTTCGGAAATAGTTGGTGCTAATTGTCGTTTTTCACCTGAGTTGGCCATTTTTACTAGGTGCGGGAATTACACGAGTATAGTAGGACAGAGATAAACTTATGTGGCAATAGCAACAAAATAGGTATATTCTACTCACAGCAAGGCGACGGCAACAGCTTGGAGGACGAAACACATCTTCATTGACTTCGGTGAGAAGCCTGCCCAATGGCAGACTAGATGTAGCCTCAGCAGCACCTCACACCTCGCGTGAGAGAGATCTTCGGTTGCAGTCACCCGATGTAAACGAGACTGCTCTGGAGATTCGTTGACTTTTGCCACGTATCGTCCACGACGACACAGCGAGCCACAGAATAATTATAGAGTTTGTGGAGTATGGTGTGAATTTAGTCGATAGAGTCACAGAATAACGAATGGCACAGAGTTTGTGGAGTATGCGGATTGAGTCGATAGAGTCACAGAACACGCGTGTGGCGGACCGGGATTTTGTTTTGTTGATAGCCAGCAACGATATGCACGATCGTATCCCACTTCTGACACCACTGTTATCGGGTAAAGTCTTACTCACTTAAAAAAAACACTTTTAGAATGTCCAGAAATATAATAAGAAAATAGTAAAGTTACAAAACCCTTAGTGTGTCCGCCACGAGGTCCAAAGTAAGTGTGTCATTCTACTATATGAAATAAAACGTGTAATGTTAGGTAAACGTGGCGCATCAACGTGAGCAACGGGGATGCGGTGTCAGCGGTTTTATTTTAAATGTCGGGGCTATAATTACTTATAACAGGGCCCAACAGGGACGATGCCGATTCAGAGTCGCGGAGAACCTAACGGGTTACCGGGGCTCCGGCTCGACGTGCAGGAGAACGGGGTGGTTTTTAGTCAGAGTCTGACACTCCCTCCCGCCTCACCCAGGCGGGAGCAGTCATTCGATGACTTTCCCCGCTTAAAAAAATCGTATTCAAAACATACCTAGCTGAAAGTTACGTGTACAATATACATCTCTGCTTATATCTCTGGACTCAAACAAGCGTAATGTTCCTTTAAGCAACATGTTTTTTCACTTTCTTTTGATAATGGTTGGAGTTAGCAAAAGTTTTTTTACCATTTTAGGCAACATGCCAAGTTTGCACGCGCAATGGCTGCCTCAAAAGATACTAGTGTAACGTCCTTGGTTACATCCGATTCTAGACTTTTAGTTTTACTATAACAACAGAGCAACATGATGGCATTGGAGATGGGGAAGTACTGCAGAACTACTAGATTAAAGTTTGCAGTTTTTTCTTTTTCTGCTAGACAAAGAAAAAAATCTCCAAACCAATACTTTGTTTATATCAGTCATTTGTTATTATGATATTTCCTCCCAAAGCAACAGATTATACCCAAAGAATCAACTTTGTGTCCTACAAAGCATGTAGCTAAAATATTTTAGAAAAAATGGAAAAATAAAAACGAGTTTTGGTGTTTGGTTTAAAATATTTTTCGAATTCACTCGTAACATATTTGCGAATGAAGCCTTCGTATGAATTTGAGAATATTGTTTAATCTATTTTTTTGTACGCTTCACTACACTATCAATGAGCATATTGTATAATATGATACTATATGATAAAAATTGTATTATATAATTTTATGATCTAAAACAGTCTAAAAGTTTTTACTTATTATATTACATTTTACCAAGTACGGTTTTACAGTTTTAAGTGTGGAAGAACCATGCTTCGGCACAAATGGGTGAGTGATACCACGGCCTCACAGAAAACCGACGTGAAACAACGCTTGCGTTGTGTTTCGTCGTGTGAGGTTACCGGAGTCCCAATTACCCCCTCCTCCCCAATCTCCTCAATCCCCAATTCCCCTCAAATTCTTAATATCCAAAAGGCTGGCAATAAATAAATAATAAATAAATTTATTAATAAAACGTGCACGTGTAACGTCTCTGGTGTTCCAGGTGTCCATGGGCGACGCCGATTGTTTCAGGTGATCCGTCTGCTCGGTTACCGTTTTATCTCATAAAATACAGTATTATTTACTAAACGATTCTTTCCACCAATAATAATCGTTTTAAGTGACTACCCAAGTCTCATAAAAGAACAAATGTTCGTGGTACTACCAAATGCCAAGATAACAAAATGCGACAATTTACTTTATGCACTGTCATCTTCAGCGTTCTGCGGGATTTTACACGACAAGAGTGACATAATAAGAACGCTTAGCCTCTTGGCTCTGGCGAAAATAAAAGCATCCTAAGATTTATCTAGGTACCTACTGTGTGACATCAAACTTATGCATATACAAATATGTACATGCATTTTGTCTGAATTACCCATGTCAATAAAATGTAAGAGAAGTGTCACAGGTCAATGTCATTTCATCGTAGGTGCGTTGTATAATATTATTGCGAAACTGGCGCAACATTTAATAATATGTCACAAATGTTTTCAATCCGTCTAAAAACTATCACTTAAATCGATCAAAAGCATCTCAGGGTTAGAATTTTAGTTACAAACTGAATTTTACAATTTAAGTTTTCGAGACATTTAAACTCGTATAGACAAGTAAAATTTTAATGAAAGGAAGTAATTCCTTTCGCATAATCTCTCTTCAAATCAAATAAAGGGCTCTAAAACGAACCAAACGCAATTAAGCTCGGAAAATACATATCATATCGCGGGGTTAAAAAAGACATGCCATTTGTAAATAAATTCATACTCTGTCTAAACTTTTTAATATGTTAAGCAAATTAATTTGCGGTAATTTAGAACGGTCTGCTGTATTCTATTTGTGCGATGAACAAAATTGTGCTTTATTTGTGTGTCGATAGTGCTCGTTTTGGTTTTGAAATCGTGTTTTGGGACGTGTATTCGAGTTTGAATGAATCTCTTGCCGACATCCCAATCCACTGAGACGATATTCAACCCCACGCTCTCGGGATTCGTTAGGCGAACCCGCGCTAAGTGCTTAAACAAACTTAAGTTATTACGATTTTGTGAATAAGCAAATGCTCAGTAATATAACGTGCAGTTCGTGGAACGCATCTTTACAAATTTTAATCTATTGAGTACGATAAACGTTGTGTAGAAGATAGTATGCTGCTTAATTCATAAGTACCCAGATCATAAAGTACATAATAGTAAGTTGTAAGGTGTTTTGCAATAAAATGAACGTAGAGTCGTACAAAAAACGGCAAATAGGCTACAACTTTCTAAGAATTATTAAATAGTAATTGACAAAGTAGAAAGTCTAGGATTTTTTTCAGTATTTCTTTGTCTAAGGACCGATAGATGAATTACATTAAAAAGCAACTGTACATTGATTTCTACAGATTTTATTTATAAGTTACCATTATGTAACAGCGCTGATGATACAATGGGGTCCAACCTAATCCCAATAAATTAATTTGCAAATTGTTTTAAGGTTTCCACTCGCATTCATTTGGGGTTCTTATTTGTAACAAACTCGAATGACCCTCATTGTAAGCTGATAAGCAATTTGTACCTGTAGGTATCTACTAGAATTTTACGTTAGTTTATATGGTCTTATTAATTGAGTATCTAATACCTACTTACCTACTATAAACATGATCAACAAACATCACTACATAGTATAAAACGAAGTCGCTATCCACCGCCTATCTGTCACTATGTATGCTTAGATCTTTAAAACTACGCTACAGATTTTGATGATTACATACATATTTAAACCGTGCGAAGCCGGGGCGGGTCGCTAGTAATATACAGAATTAGAAACAAAAGCAAAGGTTTAGTTTGAAAAATATTGTTAAGATTTCTGACTTCAAGGATTTACGTTATCTTCTAGTCTAGCATTCAATCATTTTGGATATGAACTGATAAAGAAATCATAACACAAATGAAATCTTTATATTCCACAAGTTCTATCCTATCACAATAAGTTTAAATCTAAGTTGTAAACATTAATTAAAAAATCAATTATATTAAAATAAATAATTTATTATTAATTTATTTGCGTCCATTTAAATTCACAGACGTCGTCAGTGGCATTCAAAAACGGTTTGAATATGTCTTCAAACTCCTGCCATGAACAGGTTCCTTTGTTGCATATTTCAGTCAACGGCTTTTCGTTCCAATATAATGAAACACTATAGTCGTAGTTGTGTGCTTTTCTGCATCTAAAAGAACAATAAGAATTAGAGAAATTAACCCCATCTTATTTATGTTTACATAGCTTTCTATCCTCACCATAACTGGTTTATTCAATAAATGATATGGTCTTTGGGTCCAATACTGACTTAAGTTAATCCTTATTGATTTCTCGATTTCATAAGATTCAGTAATAGACAAAATAAATATTAGGAATACACTAATAATTTAGAAGAATAGGAAATAGGCTACATCCTCGGACCTATCTTTTATAAAATCATGTAATGGTAATGCTATTAGCATTTGTTTATAAAGAAAAATAAATTGTAACTCAACACGTCCTCGTGAGGTCTATAGAAGCGTGTAATTACACGTCAATTAAACTTATCATGTCAATTACAAAGGGTCCCCTTGCAATTGACACAGGTGACCTATATGGTACATTGATAATAATTGTATTGAATGAATACGTAAGTAAAATTAAATTGTTAGGAAATAATACGATAATATGAGGGTCAAACTTCAAACATGTATGCATGACAATATAATTATCAGTGATTTCTTAGCTATTAAGTACATATTATTGTACGTATAAATTAACATAACATAACATTACGCCTTTTATCCTTAAAGGGGTAGGCAGAGGTACACACAGAAGTAACAGCCACTTTTCACTATTTATGTTATGAGTCTCATGTAATAGGGGGTGAGCCTATTGCCATATACGGGGCACATTTCCAGACTCCGTGCTACTAGTGAGATTTTATTTAACCCAGTAATACTTTGCCTGACCCGGGAATCGAACCCGAGACCACTTGCTCGGCAGTCGCACTTGCGACCACTCGGCCAACGAGGCAGGTATAAATTAATTACCTCGTTATTTGAGTGCTTGAAACTCATAACATTTAAAATGTTTACAACTCTATCCTTTGTTTAGACATTTGAAAGCCGCCTTAAAATTAAGTTCATAATTACCTAACAATTTGCAAATAACAGTGGTAAATAAGAGTAAAATAGAAATAAAATGAACTAAATACCTGTTCAATACTGCAATTAGGTTGCTGCCGAACGTCGACAAAAACGAGGATCTGTATCTTCTATCCACATTTCTATGAGATCCCATGAGCGGAGTTGGATCTTTGTAAAGATTAAGAACGACTGCTAACATATCCATCATAGTGGCATGAGTGAAATAGGAAACAATTTTCTTTCCATTTCCACGTTTTGCTAGTTCAAAATTTCTAAATAAATCGGTCATCGGTAGTTTTCCAAGTACATTACTGAATTTGATTGCTCCATAGCTATTTCGATAGTAATGTCTAAGGTCACCGACGTACTCCAAAATTTTGAGATCTTCAGTTGTGAATACAGCACACCACGGACTTGGTTTATGAAGGAGCCCATTCCAAGAGTACCGGCACAAGTCATACATTGCTGTTATATTGTCGTTGGAGGGAATAAAATTGAATCCCAAATTATTGGCGACCCTTTCTCTCATCTGCCAATAAAATATGTTTTCTAAATAAATTATGAATATTGGTTGGTGAGCAATTCGTGTGAACACGGATCAGTCACTATCGTAATTGGTTTCTTACGGTTATTATACGTTTTTATTCAAGTAACCAGACCAAAATAGTTAATATAATATACCTATTACAAGTAACATATCATTACGCCTTTTATCCCCGAATGGGTAGGCAGAGGTGCACATTACGGCACTTAATATGAGTTCGGTGTAATAGGGGGAGCCTATAGCCATATATCGGCCAGACTCCCTGCTAATACTGTGTGCTGATTTTTTTAAGAACATAGTAAAACTTTTTCCGTCCCGGGAATCAAAATCGAGACCCCTTGCCCGGCACTCGCACTTGCGACCATACGGCCAATTAGGTAGTCCTATTACAAGTACTGTATTCTTAGGTAAATATAAAATACTTACGTTTAAGTACTCCTCAGTCATTTCATAAACTTCTGCTTCATGGTAAATGTTTCGATTATTCCGTATATCGACCTGATATTTTCCACATGTTGAGTAAGGCTGAAACGAAAATCCTCCATTATACGAATATTCCACTTTCATTGAGAAACACAAATTTTATTATTTAACACTAACTTTAACTTACTGCGACGAAAGTGTAATCGCCGTATATTTTGGTGATGACCAACTTATGCTCGTTCAGACCCTCGATGAAAGCTTTAGCGCTTTCTTCAAAACGAGTTCCAAACCCTGGCGTAAATTTATACTCGTTTTCTTGAAGGTTACTCATAAGTTCTGGGAACGTTTCTTTTATCCTTCTTCCAATATTAAGTAGCTCTCGATATCCTTCGTTAGATAGTTCATTTGGTTCATCAAGCATACTAGTTTCAATCTTCCAATTTTTGATATTCTCTACGTCTTGAGCACAAAGTGAACTATTTCCAATTTCGTAACTGGATACAATATAGTCTTTGTAGTTCTTTAAAATAAATTGTATGTCTTCCGAGTACCTTTGGCTAGGGTTTCTTTTTCCATGGCGCAACATAGACCACACGCTGATGGTTTCACATCCTGTTAAACAATATAATGGTAATAAATATTAATTAAATCATCATATCGTCACGTGGTGTTTATGTTCTGAAGAAGGAGGACTGAGAAGTACATCTTAAACATGTTTTACCTGTTATTTTACCAGTAAGTTAAGTATACATTGACTGAACACAATTTAAACAAGAAAATTAAATTAGACTTATAAAATAACCAGTACAAAAATTTAACAACGTAATGTTTTACTCTAAAACATACATTTTTTATAGTAACTATATAGCAGGACTACAAATAGAGAATATTTATAGTGGTTTTCTTATTTAAAGATCAAACACTATTCAAAAGCATCGAAAAATAACAAGAAACCTTTTACAGGAGCAACTTACAAATAAATTTGTATAAGACGCTCCACTTTAAGAAATATTCCGCAGAAATAAAAGTGGCAAAATATGTCAGAACAATCTCCGAATGAAACCCAACTTACCTTCCTGTTTTACGATCGAATCCCTTATATCGCCTCTAACAATTTCGTACGGAGTTTTACTCGAAAAATATTTGTATTTGCACCCAGTGTTCCAATAGCAATCTCGAGTCAGCACAGTTTTTACACAGAAGCACATAGCGGTTATGATTAAAAACTTCATTTTGTAAAATACAAACAAAAAAATTGTGCACACCGACACACACTACGTTCAACACTGACTCTCTAAAGATAAATAAATGGTACTAAGCTAATCATTATCACGTTAGATTAAACCATGACGAATTGATTGATGCGAAATGATTTATGTTTAATTAAATAGAATACCTATGTGCGTAAATATTATGAGCATTTTATTGTTTTAAATATTAAATTACCATTTTTAATGAACGAAATATTATTAATAGTCTGGTAATAAAATTTAAAGACGTAAAAGGATGTTGTCAATGTCAGCTGTGATAGTGGTAATTAATTCGTTAATAATATGTAACTTCTAATGGCTTACTAAGTACTTCCGTCTCTAAAAATTTAATCTTAATAAAAAAAAACACAAATAAAAACAACTTTTATCAGCGGCTTTACCTACCTAAATCTTTTTCATTAATAATATTTACTGGACTTTAATATTATGCACTCTAAATATGTGGTGACTCAATGTCGTGGTGGCCCGGTTTAAGACACCCGCTTCTCATGCATGATAGTGCGGGTTCGAAACCTACCAACGGCAAAAAGTACCAATGACAAACGGTGAAGGAAAACATCGTGAGGAAACCCGGGCTTATAATTTCTGAGTCTGACACTCCCTCCCGCCTCACCCAGGCGGGAGCAGTCATTTGATGATATTCCCTTCTCAAAATAAATTCATCTATACGTCAAGCAATTTGTATAATTACGCAACAATATCAAAATTTAAATACTAAGAGTAAATAATTATTATAGACATTTTGTAACTTATTTTTTTTATTCAGAATTGTCTATTTTGCAGAAATCACGGGTTACGTTCAAAAACGGGCCGAACATATCCTCGAATTGCTGCCATGAGCAGACACCTCTGTCACACATTTCTAATAATGGTCCTTCGTTCCAATAATATACGATTTTGTGGTCGTAAACGTTTTCACCAGATTTTCTGCATCTGAAATAAATTCTTATTTTAAGAATCACCTAATTTTTTGTTGTTTCCATCCTCATGTTTTTCTCATTTTTTATGATATTATGTTGATTACCAAATATCTTCCTAGATAGAATAAATTAGGTACTAATTTAAAATCATATTTTTGTATCTTCTTAAGCATACATAAATTAATTAAATACATTTTCATAATAAATTCCATGACTAATGTTTTTTTTTTCAAACAGATGAATAAAAAGAACAAATGTTTGATAACTTTCATTTCACATCACTAACTTATTAAGGACAGCTAACATGTTCACGTCAAACATAGATACCTTAAGAAACAATTGTAGACGTATACTTTCTGTTTACATCTCTATGAGGCCCAATAAGTGGCTTTATATCCTTGAAAAGATTGAATGCAACCTCTACCATGTCCATCATTGTCGAATGCGAGTTGTAAACGACATTATTTATACCTCTTCCTTTCTTTGCTTCTTGAAACTTTATCAGCAAATCTGCTAACAATGTTCCTCCAAATATCTTACTATATTGTAACGCTACATATCCGTTCCTATAGGATATATATTTGAGTATTTCTATACCTTCTTCAGAAAAAACTGCACTCCAGGGACTGGTTTTTTCATTGATACCATTTGAAGTATAGCGACATAGGTCGTACATTGCTACAATGTTCTTGTTTGGTATTGTATAATTGAAGCCTAATTTCTTTTTAAGTCTTTCTTTCATCTGCAATTTTAATTGTCAAGTTTTTAATAGATACAATTAAGTTTTCTAAAATTCAACGGTTTTGAGAAGAACTGTGTACTTACATCGAAATATTCTTCAGTCTTCATGTAAACTGGAGTTGTATTGTACGTATCTGAATTGTCGAAAATTTTTTTAAGATATACACATGGTCCATAAGGCTGTAAAAGTAGTAATTTTGTTAAAATTAAACAATTTTCCCTGTTTGTTATATTGTAATCTAATATGTCATGACATGACACCTTATTAACGAAATTCAGTAGTTCATACGAAATGACGACATATTTTTATGCATTAATAGAACTTTATTAAAAAAATTACTCGTGTAATCCAGTTCCGATAAGACCTAATCAACTCATTAAAAAATTCATGGCCATGTTTACAAAATACAGTAGGTACTATCGTCATATATTAACATCACAACCGACTTAGATAATATGAACCAGTGAAACTTAATATAAGTAATAATTAATTTTATCATCTAAATATTTGTTTAACACTGATTACTTTTTAGTGTCCAATTAAGTAGTACATAGTATCTACTTATTATTTATTTATTTTATACTTTATGCACACAGAGAAAAATAATTATACATTGTAATAGTAATTTGAGTACAATGGGCGGTCTTATCACACGCGGCGATTTCTTCCGAATTATTAGTAGGTACCTACTATTTATTACGGAACCAATTCTTGATTTTGTTTTGTTTTTTTTGTTCATACAACTATCGGTTATTGGCTCTAAATTCTATGTATTTCAAAAATATGAAAATAATTAATAAAAATTAATTAATAAGAATTATCACAGAATAAGAAACGTCCCGACACAACATCGTAATAAAAAAAGTTCTAAAATACTTAAAAGAATGCATTCATCTTACATTAGCTGTACTTTGGTTTTATTTTAGTTTTATGTCACGAAGTCTATACTTCTAAAACCTCCAACAAAAGCTTCGATCGAAACTCCAGTGCGGGGGCCAAATGTTGGGGTAAACAAATAATCTTCTTCGGTCAATTTATTCAACAATTTTGAAAACGATGCTCTAAACCTTTTTCCAATACCCACCATTTCCTGGTAACCCTTAGACATGATCATATTCGGTTCTTCAATAAAACCTCTATGTACCTACCTTCCATTCTAAAATTATCTACATCTTTAGCGCATAACTGACTGTTTCCATTGTCGTAACTTGATATAATTTGGTCTTCATAAACCATTACTTCTTTCATGTACTTTAAAAAATTCACCCCAGGGTTCTTTTTCCCGTGTCTCATTACTGTCCATATATTGATTGATTCGCATTCTGACAGTAAGTAAAACTGATTATTTTGATAATTCAATTAATTTTATTTACTATCACATCTCAAGAACTATAACAAACCAGTATTGAAATAAAATAGACTGATTTTATTTTTCCATAAAACTATTTTTAAATGTTATTCCTTTTTATTATTTTTAAAGAAACTAACGTTGGCCCACACTACGGTTTTCTCATGAGTCGTGGGTGTGTTTACAAACATACAAGTCTATATATCCATCACATCCAGACCAGCAATTTGTAGATCACACAAAAAATTGTTCCGTGCGGGAATCGAACCCGCGACACGTTGCGCGGCAGCCGGTTGCCCAGCCAACGCACCAACCGTGCATTCCTTTCCGTGACATCTTATTATTTATTTATTTTTTAAGAAAATTACAAAACTTACCTGGGCCTCTAGCCAAACGCCACTTTAGCGCTTGTCTACAGAGAGAGTAGATATCAAAATGTATGGGGATGACACTGACAAGTGTCAAATTTTACGTCAATTCCATATAATTTAGTTTTCTACTCTACATGTAGACAAGCGCTAAATGGCATTTGGCTACAACTGCTGGCAATACTACATACACACGAATCCCCTATATCACCTCATATTTTCATATGGGGTTTTACTTGAAAAGTATTTGTATTTGCACCCAGAATTCCAATAGCAGTCAGTTGAGGCCGCATATTGAATGAAAAAGTTCATAACCAATGTTGAGAATATTAGAAAGCTCATATTGTCGTGTTGGAAAAGACTAGAAAATTAAATATTCAATACTTAATGAAATAGTTTAATAGTTAAAAAATATATATAATGAAATAGGTACACCACGCGTATTTCGTCCTTATTATGTAGAGTTGAACTGCGTATTGGGGATTTTCGTCCTTATAATGTAGAATTGAATTAAATATGGTAAATATTTCTATTAAATAAAATTAAGCGGAAACAAATATGGACAGGTGATTAACATTATTAATAAATAAATGTAATCTATGACGTGAGTTCGTTAATAACTTCGCTGGCTTGTATATTATTAGCTTTAGCTCTCGACTTCTAGAGCGCATAAAAAAAAACGAAAAGAATCAACGCTCTTGCTCTTATTCTTTTTGGGGAAACTGTAAGCAAAATTTTGTCTTGCTTTACTCAATATTAGGGCAGATTTTTCAATAATTACTTTGAATATTTGACAATTCTTCCAAACTAAAACTGTCAAATTAATGTCACTTTTATTCTACAGTTAAAAATTAACTGATGGCTGAAAACTCGGTCCTTAGCCTTGCATTGTCTGATAACCACTCAGTTAGTTATAAAGGTTGATTTTTGAACTTATCAGTATTGATAGTAGGTACATACATAGATGCATTGAAACATCAATGCATCTATGTATGTACCTACATCAATATGCACATGTCAAAGTATAATTTAAATGACACAATATCTCAAGATCATAACAAAAGCTATTAGTATCTAGAATATGTATACTGTTAGTAACTATTGTATACTTATAAAGGGCATGCTTATATATGTAGAGATTTAAACATACACAAAGTCAAAATGGTTTATTTCAATTAGACCAGGAACGCACTATTGAACGTCAACAATAAAAATTTAAAAGTGAAGTTATTTCCTCATTCCAACGTGTAGATTCCTATGGAGAAGAACCAGCAAGAAACTCTATAGTCCAACAAACTGACAAACTAAATAAAACTATATTTACATAATATTATAATGCGTATAATTTTATTGACGATACTAATACATTTTGAAAGATTTTTGAATTGAATTTCATAAATAAATTAAAAAATTATAAATATGACCATAGAATACATTTATGATTCCCTTTAACTTTACTCGAATACTTGGTACTTTTTAGTCTGTAACCGATTTGATTAATTATTATCACAGGTCAATATAGATTTCTTTAATATTCTATTGTATGTACGTTCTAATTTCAATTTATAAATAAATTTGTTTATACTACCTCAGTCATTCAGAATGGTTTTAACCACTGATATGATAAGACAACACATAAAATTAAAAAAAAATACGTTTTAACTTCTATTTTGACCTGATACTTCTTGCTAAATTTCCATGTATAATTTTGAAAAACTCCTTAATAGAATTAATAAATTTGAATATATTATAGTAATGATTAATAAACGATATTAATGAATATTCTATTATAGAATATATAGTATAATACAATCGTATTATACTATATATTAATAATTATAACTATCGTAGGTCTATAATAGGTATGAGCCACTACCAGTAAACTACAGGTTAAACAATAAATACTCATAAGTCATTCTTAAAGATTACTGTTTATTTAATAAAATAAATCAGAATAATAATAAAATTAACAACTTTTGATCATTTCAGTACATATTCTAAATAAATAACTATGAAGAAGAAGTTACGTTACAGAAATCTGTGTTCGTGTTCAAAAATGGTGTCAGTTTGTCTTCGAATTCTTTCCATGTGCACACTCCTTCTCTACATATTGATTGCAATGGTTCTTCGTTCAAGTAAAATACCACATTGTAGTCATCAGGTCCATTATTACATCTGAAACAAGGTTTAATATTGTTTAATAAAATAAGTAATAAAATGTGTGGATGATCTTCAACTTTATTTCAGACTAGCTACTCTCCGCGCGATTTCACCTTCTCTGATCAGCTCCTATAATTATTTAGCTTAGAACCTTCTTCGATAAATAGACTACCCAACAGACTACCCAGTAGTTCCTGAGATAAACTCTTCAACTGTCTATATTTCTATAATAATAAGTAGTATAAGATAACTATTTATTTATCATCAATTTTAATTAAGTCAGTAACATGTAACTAATTTCGGTATTTAAGAGAGAAGAAATTAAACTCGTAGATTAAGAATGATAAACATTCCCTAATTAAAAGTTGGCTTGACATAGTATTCTTGGAAACAAATTAATGTTACTTAAAACTTAGGTATAAAGTTTTAGAGTGACCTGCAGTCGCAGAAATATCTCGGTAGCTCTTTTGCTCTATAGATTTTTTCGGTTGTGTATTAATAAAAATAGGTACCAGTTACAAAATCTACCTGTATAATAATCCTACCAGTTTTTGACAGGAAAAAAAATCAATCTATTTATTTCACTTTACAAATACATCTTTACATTGACGCCAAAAAGATTGCCTTTTTTATTTTTAATTTTGTAGTTATTGATTACTAGTTATTACTGATAGTTAACTAATTATTTATCACCAACCCCTATACAAATGATTAGCAATTTTTTTAAAGAACCTGACATACGCCTAGTTAAACACCATCTATATTAGAACCGCGGGAAGCCTGCAAAATAGGTATGAAATTGCAATTAGAATACCTACAAATAAAGCAATCAAGAAACTCACTTGTTAAGGACAGCTATTACATTAGCAGAAAATATGGCCAGCTTGCTACTTCTCCATTTCCTGTCGAGCTTCCTCTTTGAACTAGATAAGGGTGCGTCGTCTTTGAATAATTTAAGGGCTGTGTGAATCATATCCATCATAGTAGCATGAGAAACATAGCCCGTAATTTTTCTCCCCTTTCCACTCTTTGCTTCTTGAAAACTTTTAAGTAGGTCGGTCAAAGTAATCTGGCCGAATAGCTCGTTCATGGGTGTTCCGTAACCACTTTTGTAGTAATGTCTCAAGTCGGCTACATACTCCATAACTTTCAAATCTTCGGTCGTAAACAACGCACACCACGGGCTGAATGTGTTGGTCATTCCCGAAGAAGTGTAACGACACAAGTCGTACAAAGCTGTTATATTTCTTGCTTGCAGAGGATAATCGATACCCAGCCGCCGTTGGACTCTATCTTTTGACTAAAATTTAACAATAAATAGTAATTAGTTCCAGTTTAATGAGGAAAAGATATAATAATGGAAAAGGCGAATCTTACCGCAAGATATTCTGAAGAAGATTGATACTTTATCGATGCAGCAAACGTTTCTGGATTATTTCTTACTTCTTTAAGATACTTAGCACATTTCTCGTAAGGCTGAAATGAAAAAAATAAGATTATAGGGTATAAAATAAAAGAAATACCTCGCACACGAGATCGTCATTTCACTAATATAAATACTCACGGCCAAAATATCGTAATCAGGTCTAGGTGGCTGCATAGTCAAAGGTTTACTGGAAATTCCTTGAATGAAACCTTTGGCACTCTCTGCCATCCAAGCTTCGGCCGCACTTCGGAACAAATAATCATTACTTTCTAATTTTCCAAGTAGTTTTGGGAATGCCTGTTTTAGTCTTCTTCCAATACCTTCAGATTCCAGAAAACCTTCTTTGGTAAGTTGAAATGGTCTATCGAACAAATCCTTATTGATAGGCCAATTGCGTAAATTTTCGATATCTTGAGCGCAAAGTGAGGACTTTCCTTTCTCGTAGGCTGACATCAGGTAATCGCTCACTACTAGAGCATCTTTCATGTATTTGCCAAAGTCCGGACCTGGGTTCCTTTGGCCATGTCTTACTATTGCCCAAATACTGACTGGTTCACAACCTGGGGAAATTTTCAATTGTAAAAAATATTTCAAAAAAACTTTATAACTTTATTGATACTATTTTCTCTACATGAGGATGACAAAACAAATGATGACAAGCCCGATCAAGTCTTCCAATGAAACAATATTATTTCAAGAATTGAAAACATACTTTCACATTTTTATTTTAATGTTAAAAATTGAATCAAATATGCGTGTTTTTATAATAACTATCGTGAGGCATACTAAATTACCTAAAATCGCGAATTACTCACGTGAATATACTGAGAAAAGCTCTTCTAGTTTCTACTAATAGTACTACGCGCACGCTGCTCATGAGGAAGAACCCCTCTGTGGTTCGAAACTAGTTGAGCTTTTATCAGTATATTAACTTAAATAACTCGCGATTTTGGTTAACATAAGTGCGTGGCTAAATTATATTTTACATAAATTGTATTTTTTATTTTTTGCTCATAATTATAGTGTGTGATCTTCTTAAATATTGTTACTAAGTTATTATAATCCATTAGCAAGAGTTTACATTTTATGACTAGTTGTTAATAATAGTTTATTACACAGTAGTCATACTAATCGTCTAAACACTAAAGTCAATGCACTTTTTGATCTCCGTAACCCAAAAACAAAAATAAAGTAAGCGGTATTCAAAACAAACCTGATATTGCTTCTAACACGTTATTTAATTATGCTAATGCGCCTACATCGCATAATTTGGATTAATGTGACCAAGTGCATAATATTATTTTTCTTTTTTTATTAATCTGTGTTTTGTAACTTTTACCGAAATAAAAACGTTTGTGCAACATGTCGTCATGATTACAACTAGAGTATACATAAATAAATAATTATTGTTAAAATTGACATAATATTATTTTCTTATTTTAAGTTTACGAAATCAATTTTTCATCATAACGAGGGACTGTATTTAATTCAATATACTTACTCTAAAATCTTTTATTTTTCGTAGTCAATTTTTTTGGTTCCGTAATTCACTAAGACTTGTTAGATTATAACATTTTATCGATACGCATTTTCACATAAAGACTTTCTTTATCCTCAATAAACTGAAAGGAGAGAGAGCGAGCCTATTACAGGCTAACAATAGGACATAAATCTACACTCTAAGCTAGTACTTTGAATTTCCAAATTGAAGTCTTAATAGGTACTTTTGTCGATCGCGGAGGTTTTTTCCGTTTAGCCGTAACGTAACATAGTAATATATTATCATGCCCTTCTCAAAGCGGTAAGCAGAAGAGCATGAGATGTTTTAAGTTTAAAAAATATAGACAACACTAATTTCACTCATGTAACTTTTACTTAAAACTCTATATCTTAGGAGAATTTCGATACTTTGGTCCTATGTGAAAAATTGTTAAATTGCATTCCTACAGTTTTGCTAACCCGAAATTCGAATCATTTGACCAATGCCTAAATAAATCTAATTGTTGTCAAAAAACCATAGCATGCCTACTATTGAGTCATTGTGTACTGGCTAAATGATGAATGGAATGATTGATTTTCTTTGTTGCCCCGCAGTTTGATCGATCATGCTCAAATAGTTGGCAAACTGATGATGAATGATGTAAAATGTCCGGAAAAGGTTATTCGTCCTCTCCACGGCGTAGGTTGTGAGGACAAGTGACCTTAGGAGTTTATTCTTAGGTATTTGTGTTAGTCTTTACCTATTGTAATACTAGAATTTTATTGGTATTAATTGATTTTCGGTTCAATTTTTTTTTGTTCTTAATGTTCCTAGTTGATGAAGCGAAAGAGGTATTTGTAAGAATCGTAACAATTGGCGTTCCATGGTGTGCCCTACCCTCATGGGAGACAGGCGTGAAGTTATGAATGTATGTATGTATGTATAACGTCTTAGAAATCAACAATAACGGTTTAACAGATGACAGGCCGGCTTACTACCGCTGATACTACTCAGGAAAAAGGGCTAAAGCTCAAGGAAAATTGATGTTTCTTTGTAAGTAATTTTTAATGAATTTTGAGACCTATTTATTTTGAAAGTTTGTTTCCAAAATCTGCTATCGTATGGTTAATTTTCTAACTAACTAATTACTCATTTATTAGTTTGTTTGACTGTTACTATTATTATTTCTCATTGTTGTGTGTATTTTTACTAACATAGGTTAAGAACATTGTTACTAACAAATATGGACTAAGTCTGAAATAAAATTTATTATTATATTAATTTTCTGGACATTCCATGTACTGATTTTTGGACTCTTCTCGTAATAGTGATGAACAGAGCGTGGTCATATCGCTTTTAGAGGTACGACATTTTTTTTACGGCATGTAATGTCGCAGTTATAGTACGTTTTTATACGATTATTTAATCACTTACCTAGGATTATATGAATAATAATCAAAAAAACTATATTGGTGTAGGTAATATTCAATTATGTATATTTTATACCTTATTGAATCTAATTATAAGACGATTAGGTACTTATTATCACATCAAGTTTTACAAGTTGTTTACGTGAACATTAGCGAACATTAATTAGACATTTTAAAGATCAAGGTCATTATTGTAATTAATGGCCTGATTAAAGTTATGTGTAATGTAACCAAATTGACAAAACTTGTAATTAAAATCATTTATATGTAAAATAAAGGTATAATGAAATATGTATGATGATTCTATAAAAGTACAACAAAATACACGCTGTAAACGAAATATTCCCGAAAAATGCTAAAGATGATGTTAAAAAAAGTTATATTTTGATAAAAGTAACAAATTAAATGTTCTGTTTATACATACATACATACATAACATCACGCCTTTTATTCCTGATGGGGTAGGCAGAGGTGTACATTATGCCACTGTACAATGTAACACCCACTTTTCACTATTTATGTTTTGAGTCCCATGTAATAGGGGGTGAGCGTATTGCCATATACCGGGCATAATGTTTTGTTTATGTAATAATAATTATAATCAACTGCGTAAGGATGATGTTACATGAATGACATGATAACAAAAACGATTAAAATTGTAAAAACATATTTCTTTTTGTCAGCGTTTCGGGAGCATTTCGTTTACACAACGCATGTAAGGCATATGTAAAGTATTATTGATAGGTACTTACCGGTTAGTTTGATGACAGAATCCCTTATATCACCTCTGACAGAATTATATGGTGTTTTGTTAGAAAAATATTTGTATGGACATCCTGTATTCCAAAAACAGTAGGACGATATCACAGACTGTATAGTACATAACGTTACTAATGACGTGAGTAGTTTCATTATGATAATTTTAATAATTATATTTAATCTTGCATTGGTTCTCAAAGACGACCAATCCTTACAACTGCTTAAACTAAAATGTATCTAAATTGTAAAAAAGTATGCTTGCAACACCGCTTACGATGTTTTATTTTTAATGCATTAATTTTCGTAGGTGTATATTACAATGGATTTGGGTGTTTGTGATTTGGTTACCTAAATACATGGATCACGGATTTGTTTTATTTTTTTTTATATCACACTTTATGTCTTATGGAAATAATGTTGTACATTTTTTTTTTATTTTAAATGTCTTTGTTGTACATGTAGTGTTTGAATTATTGTGGAATGAAAATAGAATGGATAGAATTTGTATTAAAAATTAGATATTAATTTCTTAATTAAAAATAAGACTCCCTCGTTAGTCGAGTGGTCGCAAGGGGTCTCGGGTTCGATTCCCGGGTCGGGCAAAGTATACTGAGTTTAAAAAAAAATCTCAGTAGTAGCACGGAGTCTGGAATTATGCCCGGTATATGGCAATAGGCTCAACCCCTATTACACGGGACTTATAACAAAAATAGTGAAAAGTGGGTGTTACTTCTGTGTGCACCTCTGCCTACCCCTTCGGGGATAAAAGACGTGATGTTATGTTATGTTATATTCCTTTCTTCATAAGGGTGTAAGCAATTTATTGTCATTTATCTAACACAGTCCCACATTACGTTCTACATACATACATAACTTTACGCCTGTCTCCCATGGGGGTAGGCAGAGACTAAGGAACGCCAATTAGTACGATTCTTACATACCTCTTTCGCTTCATTAACAGTCATCAATCTTTTCATGCATGCTCGTCGGTTATGGGTACTTTTAATTTGGCCCTTCTTTAATATATCGCCAATCTGGTCACTATATGTCCGTCTAGGGCGCCCTCTACCGACGGCTCCATTCATATCCGCTCTGTATACTTCTTTCGTTACTCTACTTTCATCCATCCTTTCTACATGTCCAAACCAGCGTAACATTCCCTTTTCTCAATCCTTGTCACTACATCGTCTTTCAATCCACACCTCTCTCTAATAACACTATTTTTCACTCGATCACTCAATTTTAGTCCACACATACTTCTCAGGGCTCTCATTACGTTCTATTTTAGATATAACAATTCGATAAACTACCCAAAGCCAATGATACTTGTCCATGGGCAGCGCCGATTGCTTAACATGACAGGATCTGTACGCTCATTTGTCGTTGTTCAGAAGTCATATTAGTAATTTCTGTAGAAAAAAGGAACCAATTATAAATCACTATGAGTGATAAGACCGCCTTTGTGTCTTATGTGCCTTTGTGACTATATTATTAATGGCGTACAATAAAGATTATTCTATTCTATGCTATCAAATAACTTCTAAAAACAATAGATTAAAGTAAACAAGCATTATTAAGTAATGTTCAACAATTTATTATTCACGTTTAACACGTATTTCGGTGTATTCCTTGTGAATGATTGATGGAACACCACGACTCATTCGATATACATTATCTCGGAGTAAGAGTTCAGCTTTTCGACGATGTTCCAAGGATCAGCCGCTTTTGTCACTCTTTGGTGACAATAGGATTGGATAAACACTTCGTAGCGTACATAAAATATTGCATTTCTTTGTTTAGCTTTTGATAAAATAGTTATAAATGTATGGTGATGTACAGACATTCCATATTTTTTTAGTGTAACTAGGAATTCTTATTGTGTCTACTATATGCCGTCTGTCTGTCTCTATGTATGCTTACATCTTTAAAATTACGTAACGGATTTTGATGCGGTTTCTTTTAATAGATAGAGTGATTCTTAAGGAAGGTTTATATGTATAATACATGCATATTGCACACGTGCGAAACCAGGGCAAGTCGCTAATGTCAAATAAAACAAACAATGTTGGCACAAATATTTTATTTTTCTCAACTAAGTATATAATCATCTTTTTATATATTAATAGGACAGTAATCATCATTATCTTATAGCCTACCAACATACTTCAAAGATTTATAAACCCGCTCATAAAGAACATAATATTTTATAATTATTCACATCTACACAAATTATGTTCTTGCTACACTTTATTTATCAATTCCTAACAGTTGAATATAATCACACAGTAATAGATTACGCATGAGCAAAATTTGTTCAATAATTTCATACAGTTTTATATTTCTTCATACAGATTTCCAATATTTTCAATTTACTTCATATCACTGTCCTATTAACGAATATATGCCCAAAGTACACATTAATATTATAATTTTAATACCTATTAAGTCATTCATATATTTACAATAATTTACAGATAAAATATTGAATAACTATTCAATTTATTTTTTCTTATTACATTGGCGTTTCATTTTTATAATTAGAACAGATAAAATCTAAAGGTGGTGACCGACTTCATTATTTAATTTCTTCGACCCCAGCATTCGAGCCGTATGTAACTGGAAATAACTGGATTTAAATTGAAAATCACCCGGATACCTCCCCACAATTCTTTATACTCGGATTGTGATATTATTTCACGTCGCAACTCGATTTTATATGGAATAACTAAATTCCCCAGAGCTGTACCAGTAAAACAATCCATTTTTGTTGGGTTTTTTCTCAGTTTCGTATTGTAGTAATTTCAGACAATAATAGTGGTGATATTTATGATAAATATTATCATTCATTTTGTCTCCCGCTTTACGAACGAGGAAAATGGAACCGTTACTTTTTCCCATTCTTTGGCTTTGTTTTGATTAAATTGGTAGCGGCTTCCAAGAAAATCAAGCTTATCCCGATATACGCTGAGCATTATTGCTTATACTTTAATAAAGACTACTGTCAAAGTAATTCCAGAAATCCATAGAAACATTCATAAATAAGAAATACATTACCTACTAAACATTTCATTATTATTTGCATTTGAGTTCAATCCCATGTAACAAGTGCAGTGCAAGTGAAACTTTCGTCAAACGCACGTCAACGTCAACACGTTTGACGTCAAAGCGCTGATGTTGCATGACATCACGGCCGTGTTTGACGTGTGACGTGTACGTCATGTCATCAAGTTTACCAAGAAATGTACCGTCAATACCTAGTCTAGCATATAGAAGTTAAAAGTACCGTTTTAGGTCCGATAGACTGACAAAAAACTCATAAATTTACATTTTTTTATTAATAATAACCTAAGTCAGTCACCACCTTCTATACAAACCTTTACTTAACATTGGATAAAACCTTCGTAAGAATAAGCATATTCAAAACAAGATGTATTATTCAATTTGTATCTATCTAATTATCTTTAACGACCCCACATTATAGGACCGTGCCTAACGCTGTAATAAACACGACAAATAAATAATGGATTCGACATCTAATACGTTCCTAATGATTTCCATAAAACTGTTAATAATACTCTGACGTCTGTTATCTTTTTTCCGCAATTAAATTTAATTTAAGCCGCATATAAAACCGCATATCATTCAAATAAGGGACATTATTGAACACGAAAATTATGTATTCCATATTTTAATTCTAGAATCAGTTAAATTTAAATTTGCTTTTACAATTTTTCTTGTACCTAATTAAATAATTTGATAGAGCATGCCCTTTCGACTTTATACAAAATACCAATAGTTATGTATATCTACTACTTAAAATCAATGTTATATTGTTAGTTATACATTACATTACCTACCGTTTAGAAAGAGAAATGCATAAGACTTTATATATCACTAGATGACTCACATCCAATAGATTTATAATCCATTAATTTATTTCAAAGAATTTTATGTTGGTCCGAAATTGGAATAGGTGGTAGAGGATCTGCAAATTAAAGTTTCGTTGTTTTGCCGAACGCTACAGAATAAGGGAGATAAAAGTATTTATGCAACATAGATGACATTCGTTTTTTAATAAAGTGCAAGTAATTAGTCTAAAAATGCAAAAATGTAAGGATACCATAGTCATTGTTAATTTGTTAATAGAATTAAATAAGTAGTATGCAATTATTAATTGTAAATTAATTGTGTTTAATAATTTTGGCACTTAAAACACGTAATTTCATTAAACAATTCTGAAATAATGATGAGGTATTGTATAAAACAGTGTAGCGTATAAAATAATTGAACTATAATGCCAAAACTGATGAAACTGTATTTGGTGCGAATGATTTATTGATTTTCTATACAGCTATTAGGTTTTTTAGATTTATGCAGTTAAGACCAAGTTTTAAGTATAGAAAAAAGAATCATAAACATAACATTACCCTAGAGTAAGTATAAAAATCTATTCGGAAAATATTGCTTAATTTTCTTCAGTATAATTTGTTAGACTTACCAATTAGGGGATATTAATGAAAGATAGAAGTTTAAAGGATAGGATAAATACAATACACATATGAAATATGTGTGGATACAATAGAGAGAAAAATCTAAACTAAAGGCTACGAGGGTGCATATCTAGGAAGAAGTGGACTCTAACATTAACACCTAATCCGATCTTTGGCAGTTTCATTCATATCATAAATATCCTAACTATAAAATATAGTTTCGTTACCAATTAATTTAGAGAGTAAGATATCATTAACATTGATTACGTAAAGGGGATGCTTTAAACAAATTAGACAGTATTTAAACAGGGTACAAGGAAACCGCAAAGCCCCACTTGGCCACGATTATGGTTACCCACATCGTTCGCTTCGCCTATTTTCCTCAATCGCTTTACAAAACTTGTTCGTAAAGTAACGGTTCTTAAGGGACGATGCTAATGTTCAATAATCATTTATCAAACTCTTTTAATGCATAATGTTACCTACGTGGCTAGGAAATGGATAAAAAATACGGTCCAATCGAATTACAGTGGGAAATCAGAACCACAAAAATATATAAAATTCAAAGATTATATTACAAGGATAAGCTTATTTTTATAAACCCGTCAGGCCGTATGAATGGAGAAATTCCGATCAGAAGTCGCAATTTTATTTGTGTTATGT